GAAATACTGAATTTTTCCAAAGCAGCTGCACCATTTTACATACCCTTTGCAGTATGTGAAGGTTCCAATTATTCACTGACTCATCAATACTTATTATTATCTGACTTTTATTACAGCCACCAAAGTGGGTACGAGGTGGTAAAACATTGTGGGTTTTTTTACATTTAAAATAATTTTTTTTATTGGAGTAGAGTTGCTTTACAATACTGTGTTAGTTTCTACTGTACAGCAAAGTGAATCAGCTATACGTATACATATATCCCCTCTTTTTTGGATTTCTTTCCCATTTAGGTCACCACAGAGCACTGAGTAGAGTTCCCTGTGCTGTACAGTAGGTTCTCATTATTATCTATTTTATACATAGTATCAATAGTGTATATATGTCAATCCCAATCTGCCAATTCATCCCACCCCTCCCTTTCTACTTTGGTATCCATTTGTTTGTTCTCTACGTCTGTGTCTCTATTTCTGCCTTATAAATAAGATCGTCTATACCAATTTTTTCAGATTCTACATATACGCATTAATATACCATATTTGTTTTTCTCCTTCTCACTTAGTTCACTCTGTATGACAGTCTCTAGGTCCATCCACATCTCTACATAAATGTGATTTTAAAATGTTGTTTTTATTTCTGTATTTCCTAAATTTTTTTCAATGAATACACATATTTTTGTCATAAATTGTGTATAAACACACATATATACACATGTGTGTGTGTATATATATATATATATTACATATATTTATAAAATTGGAGGGAAGGAGGCATGGTAATCTTTTTTTTTTTTTTTTTTTTTTGAGGTACGCGGGCCTCTCACTGCTGTGGCCTCTCCCGCCGTGGAGCACAGGCTCCGGACACGCAGGCCCAGCGGCCATGGCTCATGGGCCCAGCCGCTCCGCGGCATGTGGGATTCTCCCGGACCAGGGCACGAACCCGTGTCCCGTGCATTGCCAGGCAGACTCCCAACCACTGCGCCACAAGGGAAGCCCGGTAATCTTATTGGTAAGCCTATTCTTGCAGAATAGGCTTTCTCTCAGAATAGAAAATGAGGATGGCAGGTTTCTGGTGGTGGTAGAGCAATGTAGGGAAGAAGTGGCTTATTGAGGAAATGACGATGAGGAAGGGTACACCAGATAGAAACCATTCGATATTAAGCTGATTCTGAAGAGAACTGCAGAGGGCACTAAATGAATACTGAGTATTTTATATTACAATTTTTTTAAATTAACGAATCCCCATGGTACTCATGCAGTGATTCTGGCCTAACATCCACACATGCAATTCCCATCCTAATCCCTCTTTTACAACACTGCAAAACCCATGCCTATCCAAGAGACAATTTGTCATCATGGCAAATGTACACTTTGTGTTTTTAGCATCCCTCTACTTCCTGCTTCTTTGACCTTCTATTATCTATATTTTCTCTTGTTTTATAACAGTATTTAACCACCAAAAGTCCAAAACTGTCCTGACATTTAAGATTTGAACACTTCTAAGCCTAGTTCTTTTATTTTATTTTACTTTTTAATATTTATTGATTTATTTATTTGGCTGTGCCGGGCGGCACACAGGATCTTGAGTTGCAGTATGTGGGCTCTTATTTGCAGCATGTGGGATCTAGTTCCTTGAGCAGGGATTGAACCTGGGCCCCCTGCATTGGGAGCCTGGAGTCTTAACCACTGGACCACCAGGGAAGTCCCAAGCCTAGCTTCTTTCAAATTGGACAAGTGATCTTGAGAAATTTACTGCACATCTTGGGACTTGTCCTTTCCCTTCTTCAGTGAAATAACTGGACCATGGTCCTCTTCTACTCCAACATACTGAGATCCTGTGGTAATGAATTACCATAAAAGACTGATCTTGAAATTCACTCAAGGATCTTCTCCCTGTGCCTCTGTTTCCTGACCTAAAAAATACCTGGTTCCCAGGTGAGGACCCTGAGAGAGTCGTATCTGAGTCTAGAGATTTTTTTCTTGTTCTTTCTTTTTCTCTTCCTTCCTTCCTCCCTCTTTCGTTATCTTCCTTCCTTTTTCCTTTCTTTCTTTTTTCTTTCTTCCTTTGTATAGCTATTAATATTGTTTATTTATTAATAATATTTCTAGTTTAATTCACCTCTGGTCTTCCTGACTCTTTATTAGTGAGAAAAATGACAACTGTCCAAATCTATCGATTACACACCCATAATCAAAGTCCTTCAGGAGGATCTGTCAAGAGCAAACCTGGGAAAGAGGAGTTTCCTTCTTGGTAAACTTCAGGAAAGTGAATCATTCAGGATGCCTGGTTTGTAATACACAAAGGTGGACAGGGACCCATGTGGACAGCCACTCACGTTTTCATTGAAGGGGGCTTGGTTAACATGCCATTGAGTCAACCATGGAGTCCCTTCCACCCATATCTGCCATTGTGGGACTGGAGACTAAAACCCAGAGCCACTCTTACCCTAGGGAGCTGTCCTCTGGGCTTCTGCCTTTCATTGGGGTTCAGTGTCACTGAAGTGCTTGTCTACTCTCCTCTGATTCTTATCCACTTCTAGCCACCACTTTTGTTTGTTTGTTTGTTTGTTTTTTGCGGTACGTGGGCCTCTCACTGTTGTGGCCTCTCCTGCTGCGGAGCACAGGCTCCTGACGCGCAGGCTCAGCGGCCATGGCTCACGGGCCCAGCCGCTCCGCGGCATGTGGGATCTTCCCGGACCGGGGCACGAACTCGTTTCCCCTGCATGGGCAGGCGGACTCTCAACCACTGCGCCACCAGGGAAGCCCTAGCCACCACTTTTTAAAAACATTCTAGAGTTCTCATGTGTAAATGTCATCTGTGTGACTCCACTGGGAAGAAAAGAATGGGATTTAGGGATTCAGAAGTCCCGGTAGCAACGGGTTTCCTTTGTTTCCTCAGTCAAATAACTTGTGTTTTTAGGTGTAATTTCATTCTGGAGAGGTCCTCTGAGCTCTTCTTAACAACATTTTTCCTTTCAGTGAGAAGAAAGTAAAAATATGGCAGGGAAGCACTTCAGGAAGCAATTGGGGTGGATAATGAATTAAGAAAGCAATGAGAAGATAAAGAAATTCTTGGGAGCCTAAAAAGGAAACTGCTTTTATCCATCTGAAAAGTAATTCCATCATGCATATCAAGGTTACACCAAAAGACTATCTACCCAATGCAATTATGTTTCATAAAGCATGTGCTGAGAATTGTACACACATTTCTTCACTTACGCGAAGTAAGTGGACAATAGATACAATCTCCATTTTACAAAAGAAAAAAATGAAAGGTAAAAATTTCACCAAAGTTCAAGGTCTATGCTTCAGTTTCCTAAAACGTGAGGGTTATAATAGCACCTACTTCATGAGTTATGAGGGCTGCATGAGATAAGGCTTATTAAGGAGGTTTGCACAGGTGAAAACTTGGTAATTGTTAGCTGAGATTTTATTATTATTTTTATTGCTAATAAGTGGCTAATTCTGAAGCCAGTATTCTTGTTCTTGGGATTTTAGTACAGAAAGAACAGTGCTGGACAACAACAACAAAAAACAAACAACCCGGGCTTCCCTGGTGGAGCAGTGGTTGAGAGTCCGCCTGCTGATGCAGGGGACACGGGTTTGTTCCCTGGTCCGGGAAGATCCCACATGCCATGGAGCGGCTGGGCCCGTGAGCCATGGCTGCTGAGCAAACAAAAAAAAAAAGAAAACAAACAACCCAATCGAAAAATGGGCAGAAGACCTAAATAGACACTTCTCGAAAGAAGACATACAGATGGCCAATAGGCACATGAAAAGATGCTCAACATCGCTAATTATTAGAGAAATGCAAGTCAAAACTACAATGAGGTACCACCTCACACCGGTCAGAATGGGCATCATTAAAACGTTTACAAATGACAAATGCTGGAGAGGTTGTGGAGAAAAGGGAACCCTCTTGCACTGTTGGTGGGAATGTAAATTGGTACAGCCACTATGGAGAACAGTATGGAGGTTCCTCAAAAAAACAGAATTACCATATAACCAGGAATCACACTCCTGGGCATATATCCAGACAAAACTATAATTCAAAAAGATACATACACTTCTATATTCATAGCAGCACTATTCACAATAGCCAAGACATGGAAACAACCTAAATGTCCATCAACAGACGAATGGATAAAGAAGATGTGGTACATATATACAATGGAATACTACTCAGTCATAGAAAAAGAACGAAATAATGCCATTTGCAGCAACATGGATGGACCTAGAGATGATCATACTAAGTGAAGTACGTCAGAAGGAGAAAGACGAATACCATATGGTATCACTTATATGTGGAATCTAAAATATGGCACAAATAAACCTATCTATGAAACAGAAACAGACTCACAGACATACAGAACAGACTTGTGGTTGCCAACAGTGTGGGGGGTTGGGGGAGGGATGGACTGGGAAGTTGGGGTTAGCAGATATAAGCTATTATATATAGGGTGGATAAACAACAAGGTCCTACTGTATAGCATAGGGAGCTATATTCAATATCCTGAGATAAACCATAATGGAAAAGAATATTTTAAAAAGTATGTATATGTGCAACTGAATCACTTTGCTGTACAGCAGAAATTAACACAACATTGTAAATCAACTATACTTCAATAAAAAAATAAAAGATAGGGACTTCCCTGGCGGTCCAGTGGTTAAGACTCCATACTTCCAATGCAGGATGCGTTGGTTCTATCCCTGGTCAGGGAACTAAGATCCCATGTGCCGCATGGCGCAGCCAAAAAAGAAAAGAAAAGATAAAATTTAAAAAAAGGGAAGAAAGAACAGAGCTGGAAAGGCTGGAGCAACATCAGAAGGAATAGCAATATAGATCAGGAATAATTCCTGAGCCCATAAAGTGCTGTGTTGGGGACGGTGACCTGACCAACAGGCTTCCAGTCACCTGATCCTGATGACAGTGACATTCATGAGAACAGACACCATAATTCTTGGGTGTAGCAGGTGCTACCAACACTCACTTAGTTACCTACCCTTTTTGAAGATCTTCAACGCATTTTGAACCACAGGAAAAGATACAGGTACCCAATTTTTCTGCACGAGAATGATAGTTCTTCCCAACCAAAATTTTGCTCCTTCCTTAATATAACTCTTACCTGAAGGTACAATAAATATAGGTTTCATTTTGAAATACAAAACTTGCAAAATAATTTTGAACAGTAGCAGTGATTTGTGGTTGCCTCTTTCCACAAAACCAAAACAGGTCAGCTGACATTTTACATATCTTATACTTTATATGTATATAACTGCTACTTATAATGACCTTCAAGAACTTGGGAGCACAAAGCTCCTTTTGGGGTTAGAAAACAATCATTTAAAAAATTTCAAGTGAAAGGGTAGAAATAATCATCAACCAACCCCCACAGATGTATCTGGAGCAGCTCATTCTCCACGTAACCCAAACCAAACTGTACTGTAAATAAATATTTCATATTTCCTGTATATTGTGATGTTTTGACATCTTGAAAAACCCTTCTGGCTGGGAAGAGCCTGCCCTTCCCTGGGCTAGTCAACTCTTAGAGATAGCAAAGGGCCCAGCTGGGACCACATCTTTGATACAAAAACTAACCAATCCAGAGCCATACCTCCTCTATCTGGTTTGTGTACCCCAGGGGGTAATATTCCTCTGCCTTAACCATCCCAGGGCCAGGTGCCAGACAACTAGGGACAATTCCTATAGCTTAGGGACCATCAAAATTATCCAAATTACCCGCTCCTAAGTGTTTACGCTGCCCTAGCTTGCCTTTCCCATGGAAACCCCAATAAAGGTCATGGCCTAAACCTTCCCCTCACTCCTGACTTCTGCCTCCTGAACATCTTGGTGGCTTTTCCATGTGGCCCTGAATGGTCTGCTGTGTCTCCTGTGCCTAGGACTGGTGAGTAAAATAAACTTTGTTGGGTTTTTTTCTGAGCCTCTCTTCTATCTCCTCTTATGGCCACACCTGACTGACCACCTCATAAAAGAATACAAACATCACTCTCCCGGGATTAAAAAAGAAGGGGTGTGTTTGTGGCTCTTGATATAAAGGTCAAACTCTTTAAAATGGCAGACAAATCCTTTCAACATTTTACCTTTGTTTACCCTATAACCTCATTTCTTTCTTTCTGCTTTTTGGCCGCACCAAGTGGCTTGTGGGATCTTAGTTCCCTGACCAAGGATTGAACCCGGGGCCCCCAGCAGTGAAAGCACTGAGTCCTAACCACTGGACTGCCAGGGAATTCCCTAACCTCATTTGTTACCACATCCAAACAGCTACCCTCCCAGTGACCTAATGTCACTAAACATGAATGCTAATTATTTTAGGTCTTCTGCTATCCCAGCCCTGTACTCTCAGCCCAAACTAGGGAAATCTCAGTCCTTCCTTCTCCATTAAGACCTCAGACACTATCTACTTCCTCCTTCTCTTCCCTTCCTCTAGCTACTTCTGTTTCTGTAAAGACCTATGTTATGGCCTTACTAATTTTGTATTGCAATCCTTGGCTGATCATGTGGAGGTTAGGAATTGTATCTTTGTATATCAGGACCTAGCAGACAAGTCTTCAGGAAATGTTTGTGGGTCTGAGGGATAGTTAGCACTTGAGCTATAAAAAGTCTTCAGCGTGTACCCCAAATAAGGGTATAATTAGCTCATTTATTCATTTACTGAGTACCTATTATGAAATAGTCAAAGTTCTAAGTCTTGAAACTAAAGCAGTGGAAAATAAACAAAAACAGATGAAAATCCTTACATGGTACTTGCATAGGAGTGGGGAAGACAGACAATAAACAAGTGAAATATATTGTTAAAAGGTGATACGTGCTGTGTAAAAATATAAAGCGGGGAAAATAGAGTGTTCTAGAGAGAGCTGCAATTTTATGTAAGGTGCTCAAATTAGATTAATACAAATAGCAGTAATACCAAAAATTCGACAGCAAAGCATTTTCTAATGTATTCCCTGGGTTTTCTATTATATTCTGAAGAAACTTTGCAGAAAATCTATTGGGAGAATAGTTTATGAAAAATATTTCCATAAGAAATTAAATTATGTTCCCAAGGCACAACCTTAGTAACTTCAAAAATATTTTTTTAGGGCTTCCCTGGTGGCGCAGTGGTTGAGAATCTGCCTGCCAATGCAGGGAACACGGGTTCGAGCCCTGGTCTGGGAGGATCCCACACGCCGTGGAGCGGCTGCGCCCGTGAACCACAACTACTGAGCCTGCGCATTTGGAGCCTGTGCTCTGCAACAAGAGAGGCCGCGATGGTGAGAGGCCCGCGCACCGCGATGAAGAGTGGCTCCCGCTCGCCGCAACTGGAGAAAGCCCTCGTGCAGAAACGAAGACCCAACACAGCCAAAACTAAAATAAATAAATTAATTAATTAAAAATAAAACAACAAAAAAAATTTTTAGTAGTACCACAACATTGAAGAACATTAAGAATCTGTTACACAAACAATAAAGAAACAATATGAAATGCCATTAATAAAAATGGTGAAGCATTGATTTCTGAAAATTTTCTCCTCCATAAAAATAATGAAAAAAACTGGAAAAATTGTCAGAATCAACTTGTTCAGAACTCTGGAAATTAACCAAAGTCTTGTAGAAATCCAGCATTCACACAAGAAAAGTGGTTGAATTTTGGTAAGAACATTAGTTTGTGGGGTTTTAACTTGTTGTAGCCCCATTCTCTACTCTCACCTCTGAAGCAATGTTGAAAATTAAGAGCCTGTATCTGAGGTGAAAACCAGTATCCAGGAAACAACTGGGGGGTTGGAGCCCCTTCTAAAGCTTACTCTCAGAGAACTGTCATTATTTGACCAGTCTCATGGTTCCCAAGAAGACTAAACGTGCACCTAGAAACACAGCCCCAACATATATGAAGCAAAAATGACAGAACTGAAAGGAGGAATACACAATTAAAAATAATGGTTGGGGAATTCCCTGATGGCCCAGTGGTTATGACTTCGGCGCTTTCATTGCCTGGGGCCCAGGTTCAATCCCTGGTTGGGGAACTAAGATCCCACAAGCTGTGCCATGTGGCCAAAAAATAAATAAATAAAACAAAATAAAAATAAATAAAAATAATGGTTGGATACTTCAATACTCCACTATCCATAATGGATAAAATAACAGATTGACAAAGAAGTAGAAGACTTCCGATTAAATGAAGAAAAATGTGAAAAGTGTTTTTGAAAATGTATTTGAGGGACTTCCTTGGTGGTTCAGTGGTGAAGAATCCGCCTTCCAAAGCAGGGGACACAGGTTCAATTCCTAGTCGGGGAACATGCCATGAGGCAACTAAGCCTGTGCACCACAACTACTGAGCTTGTGCGCCTCAATGAGAGAGCCTGCGTGCTGCAAACTACAGAGCCCATGTGCTCTGGACCCCGCCAGCCACAACTAGAGAGAGAAAACCCACACACCACAACTAGAGAGAAGCCTGCACCCTGCATCAAACAGCCCGTGCGGCAACAAGCAGCCCATGCCGCAATGAAAGATCCCACATGCCACGATGAAGACCCCGCATGCTGCAACTAAGACCTGACACAGCACACACACACAATAAATAAATAAACAAACAAATAAATAAATAAATATTAAAGAAAGAAAATATATTTGACATGTTTATCTAGATTCTAATAGTCTTCCAAACTCTCAGCAGTTTTGAATGTAAACAATAAAGATTTGGATATTATGATGTAAGAAAGAAAGAAACAGAAGACTTGAACAACACTATAAACCAACTAGACTTAACAGACATTTATAGAACACCTCACACAACAGCAACAGAATACATATTATTCTAAGTGCACATGAAACATATATAAGCCATTAGATGTGCCCATAAATTTAAAAGGATTGAAACTATACAAAGCATATTTTCGAACATAATGGAGTGAAATTAGAAATAAATAACATAAGGAAATTTTGAAAATTCACAAATATATGAATACTAAAAAGCACACTCAAATGGCCAATTAGTCAAAGAACAACTCACAAGGGAAATTAGAAAATACTTTGAGAAGAATAACAATAAAAACACAACATACCAAAATGCATGGGATGTAGCAAAAGTAATGCTCAGAGGGAAATTTATAGTTGTAGATGTTTACGTTAAAAAACAAGAAAGATCCCAAATAAAACTCAACTTTCCACGTTAAGAAACGAAGGCCAGGTAGAGGGTATATCAAACTAAATCCAAAGCAAACAGAAGTTAGGAAACAAAAACAATTACTGTAGGAAAAAATGAAATAGAGACTATAAAGGCAGCAGAAAAAGTCAACAAAAAGAAAAAGTTGGTTAGTTGAAAAATTCAAGAAAATGGATAAACCTTTATCTAGATAGACCAAGAAAGAAAGATAGAAGACTCAAATTACTAGAATCCAGAATAAAAGAGAGGACATTATCACTGACATTACAGAAATAGATGAAATACTGTGAATAATTGTGTGTCAATACAGTAGAAAACCTAGATGAAATGGACAAATTCCTAGAAAGACACAAACTACTGATACTTATTCAAGAACAAATAGAGAATTGAAATAGACTTATAACAAGTAAAAATTTCAGTGAGTAATCAAAAATCTACCAACAGAGGAAAGCCCAGACCCAGAAAACTTCACTGGTGGATTCTACCAAACATTTCAGGAAGAATTAATTCCAATTCCTCACTAACTTTTCCAAAGAAAGAATAGAAAGAGCCACTGACCAATTCAATCTATGGAGTTAGCATTACCTGATACCAAGACCAGACAAAGAAATCACAAGAAAAAATAATGCTACAGAGCAATATGACTTAGGAATATAAACACAAAAATCCTTAACAAATTACTAGCAAACTGAATCCAGCAACATATAAAAAGGATTATACACCATGATTGGGTGCAATTTATCCCAGCAATGCAAGGTTGGTTCAATATAAGAATATCAATCAATGTAATACACTTCATAAATAGAGTAAAGAACAAAAACCATATGACCATCTCAATCAATGTGGAAAAGTTATTTGACAAAATCCAACACCCTTTCATGATGAAAACACTCAACAGACACTGGAAAATAGAGGGGATATCCTCAACTTGGAAAAGGGCATTTTGAAAAAACATGGCTAGCTACT